CCCCCCCCCCCCCCCCCCCTCCCCTTCCCCTTCCCCTCCCTCGCTATTTTGTGATATTTTCTGTTCTTAACGCCTATCTGCTAGAAATGGATTACTGTTTTGAAGAGAAAGGTGTTATTGGTTATCATTTAGAATATGAACTTTGAGTCCTTAACCTTAGCTGCCTTTGGCAAGTTTTACTATAGTTCTCTTTAAAGCTGCCTTCACCGTTGAGGATTTTATCTCAAAAACAATATACTTCATGTTGTCATTTCCTGTTCTTCATCTTCAGATTGATGCCGACCAGCGACAGAAGCTATTTTCGATCGTACTGTTATGGTTTAAAGACGAAAAGGTAATAAGTGTCATCAAAGTATAGATTGAATAAAGTGTCACGAACATGCATTACCCCTGACGAAAGTTCTTTGAATTCTTAAAGCACAAAAACCTTCTGACTTTCCCATAAACGCCCGCCATGAATACAGCAGGTCAATTTTTACGTTACATGTAATAATTTATTAGCACTTCCTGTTTTTTCAGAACTGGAAGTCTGTCACTTTTACTTAGTGTATTATATAAAACTAATCCCTATATACTTGGAGGTGTCATTCAGAAAGTCCTTTACCGTTTTTCAAAGTAGAAAACTGGAACACGTAGGTGAACAACTTTTAAGAAAATAAAATTCACAGGGCATTATTTGGAGAGAAACTGATACTGCTTATTAAGCAACCTGAATGTTATTTTAGCATACGACAGAAACTTACGTCATATCCTCGTCTGCTTCTAATCCAAAAAGGTTTCGACGCGGCGTTGTATCATAGCTTTTCCGAAAGCGATTCGTCACACTGCGTTTTCGTGAGGTTTTTTTCCAAATTTATCAGAAGCTATCTTAATTTATTGCAGTTTTACTCGGTCAGGAATAACATGAATAACACGACTGTGAACTAACTCGATAAGCAGCAAAGTGATTCTCGAATTGTCTCCTTGACCGCTTGTTTCACTTCATGAATCTTCCAGAAGTAAAGAAACGGGTTTAATGTCGAGTTAAAATAAACTAGCGTCACTGTTATACCTCAAGCGAGATAATCTGATGAAGATAGTCTGCCATTACTGAACAAAGCTAGTACTATGCCGTGTGGTAAATAGCAGACAACTAAAGCACACTGCATCCACATTGCACTTGTCACTACTTTTTGTATCGCGCTATGTTCAGTGGAATTGTTTGGCTCTGTTGGTCTTGTTGAACATGGCTTTGTACCTGAATCTGGTGATGACGAAGGGTGAAGAAAATCTTTGTTTATGAGACGAATGTCTAGACCACCATTATTAGAGACCAAAGCCTAAAGCTGCTTTCCAAGTTTGTAGTGTCGGTCGTTCGGTTGGTCCTCACGGAGAAAGGGTTTGGTGGTGGCTTTGTAACCTTCTCAGTTTTCTGGGGGTGATTTTTGTTTCATTTTCATATTTCTTCGGTTGGAGTAAGAATTGAAAAGACTTCTTTTTTAACAAAAATCTAACCCTATCCCCCTCATCCCAGCTCCCCCGCCAGGACATTATAGACGGAAGGACGGGTCTGCTCCCAGGCTACACGCATAATTCATTTCGTCCCAGTCTTAAGCAATCTTTACCTGCTTTTTCATTTGAAGTTTTCCAACCTTACTGAACTATAATTTCGCCGATTTTCTTTGATTTGAAGGTGATTGTCAACTTAACGAAAAAATCATAAAACAGGTCACTTAACACGGAGAGAACATGCAGCTGCATCAAAATCTTAGTTAAACTTATATTTTATGTTCATATCTGACTGATTTTCTTCGTTTGAATTCTTTTTTTGTAGATCAGTCTTCAGCGTCTTGCTGCTCAAGTCAGTGGTTTGTTCGTTGAAGTTGAAGAAAAGAACTTTGAAAAACGACTTGGAACTGTGTTACCACTTGTTGCCAGCCTCGTATCTCCAGACCAGTTTAAAATGGTAATCAACTAGTGATGAGTCATGCTTTTCACTTCTCCAAACACTGATACATCGAGTCAGAATCTTATCGTATTTACCTTAGTTGAACGAAAACAAGCTTGACTGTTTTCACGCTAGAGACCCATGGATTATGTGTGTGCTGTTTCAGGTGTCTAGTGCAAACCTTCAACTCGTCGATCAAGATGTACAGAAGCAGATAGTTCGTCTTGACGAATTATCCGTCTTCTGGGCGACTTTTTACTGCCACGCATACATACACGTAGATATATTAAATTTCCTCAGCCAAGCTTGTCATTAGTTCTTCGTTCAAGAAGCACTTAAGCTGATAGTTTGTCTTGTCGTATAACCCGTCCTGTTTCCGTCTTTAAATGAAACACATACCCAGACACACTAAAACAAACGTGTCCAAGTTGTCCAGACGGTTCACGTGTCTCTAGTATAAAAACGGCCATTAGTGATATCTGCCACACAGGGTCGTGTTGAAGGGGACGCAAAAGGCTGAGTAATCAATATCTTACATCTCCTTACATTAGCATCAGCAAGCTATTCAGATGTAACCCGGGGTATGTCTTGATTATTCTCCCACTTCTAAGAACTGACATGAAATTCAAAAGAAATATGTGGCAGTGTTATGAAGAGTCACCTGTCGGGAACTGATAGTATTTTGCAAACGGTGGATGTCCTAAAACCGGCGTCCCGTAATTTTCCCCGAGCAATAAAAGCATGTTCCCATTCCAAACAGCAATGAGTATGTTTGCCTAAAATATGGTACGTTGTTTTTCTAACTTGGTGAAAATATACTTGTCTAGGAGGAAACTGTAAAGGAAGAAGAGCAGGTTAGCAGCTCCGAGGGCCTCCACCGGATCAAAGATCATCTTCTTTTCAACACGCTCTCGTTTCTGGTGAAAGTTTTTAAACATTGCCAGGTTATCAAGAACCCGAGCAGACAACAGGATATGGCGCAAATCTGGGGTAAGTGGAATGCAAACAGAATGCAAAGGATCGTAAAGTCAATGTCGAGGAAAAGGTTGTTGTTATTCATCGTGGTAGATGCAATAAAAAAGTGTATTATCGTTTCTCTCGCGATGTAGTCACTTGAGATGTAGATCGCGACGTTTCGACTGCTTACTGCTAGTCTTCTTCAGGCGATAAGGTCGACTGATTGCACGGTATCATTTATATCACAAAGGTCGGCTGTGATTGGTGCATTTCGATCCTCC